TCTGTTCAACCATGTTCATAGCAGCATTGTTTGTAATAGCCAGAAACTGGAAGCAGCCTAGATGCCCCTCAACTGAAGAATGGATAGAAAAATTGTGGTACATTTACACAATGGAGTACTACTCAGCAGAAAAAAAACAATGGAATCTTGAAATTTGCAGGAAAATGGATGAAACTCGAAGAAACCATTCTGAGCGAGGTAACCCAATCACAAAAAGACAAACATGATATGTACTCACTCATATGTGGACCTGCTTTATGCTACATAGTAGTGACCATGCTTTATCAGAGCTGTTTTTAATGATGTTGCTCAGAATGGTTTCTTCCCAGATGATGACTGAGAAGCTAATTAAAAAAAAAAATGGTGCCAAGTACCACAAGAGTAACAGAACTGAGCTGTTTTCTGGGATTTTGTTTTTTACGTTTTTGTTGTTGTTGTTTGTTTGTTTTTTTGTTTTTGTTTGTTTTTTGTTTTTTTTTAAATGGAGTGTGCTGGATGTCTCTACAATTTTGTTCAAATGACTGCAGAACCTGGAAAAGCTGTTGCTGCTATTGATGCATAACATATTGCCATTATCGCTTTTATATAAATATAAATATATATACATATACATATAAGCTAAAAAAAATAAACTGAAAAGCAACCTCATTCTTTTTTTTTTATGTCATCCTAGTAAAACATAGCACAGACTTTATAGGTTTGAGTAAACATGGTCTGTGCTTGCCCTAGAAGACAACGTGACTGTAGGGCATCTTTTCTCCAAACTTGCCAAAGTATGTCACAGACACACTAATTAGTCCTCTGGGGCCTCCTTCAACAAAATAGATAGTACAGCATTAATTAATCCTATGTGTGCCACTACATCGGGCCTGCATTGACTTTCATCCCGACTTTTTAAGTAGGAAAACTTAGCTGTAAGTACTGTGAACATAACCACAAGTCAGTGAGCAAGACAGATCTAAGACGTGGTTCTTTGGACAATCAAAAATACACTGGACTGCGACCTAGAAGCTGGTTTCAAGCTTTTTCTATGCTAGTTAATATAGTGTTTCAAAATGCAAATGTTTATGTTTTAGAGCAAAAAGACATTATTAATTTGAATTCTAATCACTCTTAAAATTCTCCTGCTCTATCATTTTTCCTGTTTCTCTTTCTAAATCAAATATCTAGGATTTACATTACCTCTATTCTATGAATATTAGTTAGGATTATTAAAAATCAAAATTATTTAAAAACTATAACTTTAATTTTAGTTACAAATTTCAGAGAACTATAATTTTTCACTTTTAAAATAAAATCATCAATTAAACTAGCTAATAAGGAAATGAGACTACACAGTTGACAAACATTTCAAAGAGGAACGTAATGAAATACTGAAGAAAGAAAGAGTGCCTAATGATCATCACCATATCCGAAGAACTATTGCACCTAACAACCCCGTAAAGTCATGTCATTTTTTAAACATGCACAAAACAAAACCCCAGAGGCTCCTTCCTACTCCCGCTAGTCCCTAACTGCACATCACTAAGAGAACTAACTAAACAAACAGACCCATGAAGATCTGTCCACTTGTCCTCTGGGATTTTTAACCCACATAGGATGTATCATTATTTTAGCTGGTAAGGAAAAATAAAACTTTTGTTCCTTTTGCTATATACTTTTTACTAATAGATAAAAGAGAAAAATCATAACTACTTATTTGCCATTGACTTTATTTTCTATCTCATTTGTTATCACTTTTGTTCCATGGGGTATAAAAGTCAAAAATAAAAGTCATTTCTCATGTTCTAGGGCTAAACATTGTGGTTTCTAAAAACAAATAAATAAATACATATTAGAGTCCTAGCTTTGATAACTAGAGTTAAGTAGAAAATCTGGAGCTTTGGCTCTCGCTGTCATCTATGGAGATTTAATCATACCGGTACCCTGTCTTACAAGAAGAAAGACAAATATTAACCCCTCAGTTTAACCGATAGCCATTCTGACTGACCTAAAACACACTGATGTTGTCAGATTGTGACTCAATCTCTATTTTACAAATGATGCAACCGAGGACAGGTGGGTGGTGGGAAATCCTAGGTCACCATACCTAGTAAAGTCACTAGGGTGGAACAGGCATTATTTCCTGTGTTCCATTTTCAATCTAATTCATTCCTTATATCACACTGCCCTCTAAGTTCACTACCTATATGAATTATTCTACATTACTGATTTCCCTTAGCTCTTGAAATATCAAACTTAAGTTTGTGACCAACATGTTTATCAGACACTTAGAGCTGTGCCACAGCTTTGGTAATGACAGCAGCTCCTCCCACGGGCATGAAGGGTGCCAACTAGCCTATCCCACTGGGGAACCAGCTCTAGTTGTACATCCCCTGTGGGACTGAAGGATGGAATCAGAACTGCAGATGTTGGGAAGAGATGCAGCAGGGCTGGAGACACGTTCACACACACTGAGAGCACCTAGCAGGCTGGGGATGTAGCACAGTGGGACAGAATTTACTTAGCATTGTTAAGTCCATGGGTTAGATCCCTGGAATTAAAAGGAGGAAGTAAGGGGGCTGGAGAAATGGCTCAGTGGTTAAGAATACCTTCATTCAATTCCCAGTCAACCACATGGTGGCTCACAGCCATCTATAATGGGATCTGATGCTGCCCTCTTCTGGCCTGCAGGCATACGTGTAACAAGAAGTACAGCCCCACCTGGCACTGCATTCTGGGAAGAAATTTTGGTAACTATGTGTGGCACATGAAACCAGACCCTTCATCGACTTTTGCCTGAGTCAACGCGGAACAAAGGAATACAGCCTCAATTCCAAATTACAAGAGACTAAAAAAAATTCTAATCCTTCTTTATGTGTTTTCCAGAGCAAACTCTTGTACTAATTCACTGTGGTTAGATAGTCGTTAGCAAACCAGAATACATTTGTATTTTCTGTCCCATGCTTCTCAGCCCTGTGCTTTGTTCCTTTACAATTCATTTCTTTATCAAGCAAACCTGATGGATTGAGGTGTGGAGCCCAATGCTAAACCACTGACCTAATATGCCGTAGGGCCTAGGTTTTACTTCCATCCATGAAAATAAATAAATAATATAATAAACTTTTTAGAGTTGTATTTTTAAAGAGACAAACAAATGTAACTTTCATAAAGTGAAAAGACACAGCTCTGGATCCTTTGAGTCTGAACATTTATGGCTGACATTCTTGATTTTGGTTAAATCAGGTCACATGCCTCAGGGGGACATTCCTGATATACTACCAGGACATCCTCGTGTTGAGTTTCAATTCTGTGGACTCAGCCTCCTTAATTTATTCTGTACCAATTCTGACTTTGTCAGCAGAAGAATGAAGAAAAGAAAAAACAGCAACATGGTAGAGTTCGTGGTAGAAATAGATGGATTTAAGATTGTTAGACCCCCGGAAAACTCAGGTATCCGGGGTCCCAGGCCATGACCTCGGTCACCCCAATCACCAGGCAGATTCGAGAGCTTGCTGCAAACTGCATGAGGCTTTATTGTTTTTTAACGAGCTAACCCCATGTTAGCACCACCGGCCATGGCAGATGGCTCTCAAAAGACAGTTTGAACCGGCTGCCTAGAGATCTCTAGGGCAGCGTAAGGGGAGTGTCTAGGGGTACGCACAGGCTCACAATTGGTGTTCCTCCAGGCTTGGAGGGCTTGCCCTGTGTTGAATGGTCAACTGGTTGTTATGGCCCATAGGCCCTCCCAGGGTGGTTGCTATGCTCTGTGCGTCATTGCTGTGTGCTTGTCCGTAAAGTACACCCACGGTCGTAAAGCATAGCGCCACCAGCTAACTTCTGATTGGTTCCTTGTCACAAGGCAGGCACCTAACCTATAGTGACTAAGACAAGGTCATAGCGAGCACGTGTTACTGCCATGGCTGCCGAAATGGGGAGCTGGTCCCTTCAAGATGACTGTAAATAAATTTTCTTTTTGGCCTCCTAAAAGTCATTTCTCTTGGTTACAGTACAGCTGTGTGCTGCATAGCGAGTTTCCTCACCAGTAGAATATTTAAGACAGAGGTGGTTCCATTAGATTATAGGGAGCCAAAAAATTACTACTCTAGTAATATTACAGCAGTCTTAATGTCACATTGAAACACATTTGTGGCAATGATACTGCAAACAAACCTGCTGAACTACCCGTTGAATTAAGATATAACATGCTTATCTATGGATGGTGCATCATAATTGATGGTGCACCAACTACATGGTGTGGGTCTGTGCACTAACCTTTATAACCGGTTAACACTATGTCCTTTTAAGTCTATTCTCAAGGATACAGAATACCCAAGAAATCGGGTTTCTGATAAACCAATACCGGAACTACGGATGCCGTACAGTGCTCTTTAAACCCACTTCTGGTTGTAAGGCATTATATTTCTACCAAATACCAAAATCCTCATAGGAATTGCTGGCTTCAGAAAGAGCCCATTAAAATAACAAATGTTAGTATTCACACAGTGACAGACATGTTCTCCTAGAAGACTCTACAATCGCAATGTGTCTACCGGGAAGTCACAGTCTCCTTTTATGTGGGGAAACTGGAAGGATAACAGTTACACTTAAAATGGATCTGAAACTCCTAACTTAAAAACCCATCTTCCAGCCATTACAACTGCAGAGCATTCATTGTTAAGCCGCGTTTGCCACAGGAACTGATTCCTTAAATGAAAATTGCATAAAATAGCTTGTTTCTCAGTAAGACTTAGAAACATAGTTTATGCAATGTTAGCTTCTTGCCAGTTCGGCTGATAACACTAAGTACAATCCAATTGTGCCGCAGTGTTTTCGCAAGGAAACTGAACCTGACCATTACATGCCATCAACCAGGCAACAGCGCCTTCTAGTGGCCATATGAAAAAATAATGAGAACGATCAGTGGGTCTCTAAAGTCACAACATCTAACATCTAGAAGCTAATCAGGGAAGGATTATATAAACTGGTGAAGAATTGTATTCAAGATTAAAATATACTACCCAGAAGCTCCAGTCACCGCTCCAATTATGTGTGCTCGGTCCCTGTTTTTTGGCCGATACTATATTATTCTCATCCACAACAGGGCTAGGATTTTCTTCAGCCTCTTCCTGTAGCTCCGTGGCAACGCTTGAGTCCCCTTCATTTACTGCCTGTGAATAAACGCCAACAATCTAAGTTATTTATTGACAAATGACATTTGGAAAGAAAAACATGTTCCAAATATATAAATTACTTTCAAAATTCATTTGTTGTTGTTTCGAGGCAGGGTTTCTCTATATAACTTCTCTGACTGTCTTGGAATCCGATTTGTAGACCAGGATGGCCTCAAACTCACAGAGATCAGTCTGTCTCTGCCTCCTGAGTGCTGGTGTGCAAATTCATTTAAGTTTTCTGTTTAAAAACATTTTAAATTAGTGTGTGTGTGTGTGTGTGTGTGTGTGTGTGTGTGTGTACAAGTGAGGGTCAGAAGACAACCTCCAGGGCTCAGTTCTTTCCATCCATCATGTGTGTCCCAGGGATCAAACTCACGTGGGCAGACTTGGGGGTAGGCACTTTTCTTTACCCACTAAATGATCCCACCAGGCCCATAAGTTATTTTCTTTTTTGGTGTTTTTTTGAAACAGGGTTTCTCTGTGTAGCTTTGGAACCTGTCCTGGAACTTGATGTAGACCAGGCTGGCCTTGAACGCACTGACATCCGCCTGCCTCTGCCTGCTGAGTGCTGTGACTATAAGCATGTGCCACCACCACCCGGCCCCATACATTAATTTCTAAAGAAAAATGTTTAAACACTTAAAAGATGAAAATTAAGGCTGAAGAGATGGCTCAGTTGACAACATGCTTCCTGAACAAGAATGAGCCTCCCCCCTTAAGTCCCAGAACCCACATATAAGTTGGCCATGTGCTGGGACAGGGTACAACAAGTGGACCTCTGCTGTTGAAATGGTGATCTCTGTGTTCAGGGAGAGCCCTGTATCAAAAAGTAAGTTGGGGAGTGATTGAGGCAGACACTCCACATTGAACCTTAGATGTATGCACATACCACAAACACATGTATGCACACAAAAGACAAACAGATGTTTTGCTACTAGCATTCATCATTCATACATGTAGCAAATATCTTCCAACCACTACCATTTTCCAGGTAGGTTAGTTGGTACTAGAAACGCAAAAATAAGAATAAGTTCTTAGCCTCCGGAGGTTCATGGTCTGGGGAACAAACAACGAGACCATTTTAAAATATAATGTAATACAGGTGGTTGTGAGCCCTATGTGGGTGCTGAGAATTGATCCCCTGTCCTCTGTAATAGCAAGTACTCTTAACCAGACTCTGTCCTTAAAATAACTTAACAAAAAGGTTGACTTTTGTGTCTCTATAACATAGAAGTTGAAGTTCTGAATTAACGTCGACATCTACTGAAATACATCCACTAGCAAATCTTTGTGGCCGTAATCAATACCAACTAGGTATCACTCATGTTTGGGGAGTTACTCAACACAAAACAAACAACAAAGGTTACTGGACGTGCTTCACTTTGACTTTGGTCATCAAAATCACTGCCCTGGGTTAGTGAATGGTTCAGCAAGTGATGGCATTTCGTTGCTAAGTCTAAAGACTTCATTCAGTTCAATGCCCAGAACCCACGTGGTGGAAGAAGAGAACCAACTGCACAAGTTGCCCTCTTACGTCTACACATGCAACATGGCAAGGGCATGAGCTCATGTTTGCACGCGCGCGCGCGCGTGCGCACACACACACACTAAAAATAAATAGTGACATTTAAATTCTTTGTGGTCATCTGAGTCCATGAAATGTTACTACCCACACTTTAGGTGGGTTTGTCTAGTCTAGCCTTTCACAGACATGCCCAGTGCCTTGTCTCTTTGGTACTTTAGATCTGTGAAGTTGACAATCAAATCAGCTGTAACACCATCAAATGAAGACTTTAAAGGCAAAATCCCAACTGAGCCAAATCTGGGCTTTGTGGCATAATTACTGCAAGAGGGCAGGGCCTCCCCTGACCTCACTGCTTACACAGAGCTCATAGTACTGGAAAAGGTCACTCCTCTCTTGGACTTTATCTTCCAGAGAAGCAACTTGGTTTCAATGGAGTGAGCAACAGCAGGCATTTGGACACTTTCTGAACAGCATTGAGCAATACTGCTACAAGTGTTAGCACTCTGTGGAGGACTATCACTTTCTCCCTTAGCCAGACATCACCCTGGTAAAGGGCAGACCCAAGGGTTTGTCCAATGGATTGAAACTTCAGGAAGTCCTCTTAACACTAACATGGAAATGCTCTGGCTAACAGCTGGCTGCATCTGTACATTTTTACAGATTATCAGGCCATTGCCTGAGTGGTGCCCCAGCAGTCGCACTGACCCCTAATGCATGAAGCAAGCTCACACATGTGAATATATATATATATATATATATATATATATATATATATATACTAAATCTATAAAAACAAAGGCCTCACCAGTGACTCTTGACCCTCTTCAGGGTTCTAGATATACTCATCATGCCCAAGGCTTTGTTTATCAAAATAGGACTCTGAGCTCTTGAGCAAGGTTTTCCATGGAACATTCACTTTTCTCACTGCTTCCAGGCTTCAGGTCACTGAGGGAGCATAGTGGCTTTCTTACCATAAAATCCAGTTAAATAGTACTGGAGAGATGAGATACTAGGTTAGGTGCTTGCCAGCCAGGCTAACCTAATCTATAAGCCCCAGGTCAGTCAGAGGCCCTAGCTCAAAATGTCAAGGTGGTATCTATCACCTGTGGAACGGCATGTGAGGTTCACTTGTGACTTCCATAGTGACCGGGCAGCTGCATACATGTGCGTACTTGCATACACACACAATGAAAGTTCAATTTAAAAAATGGTACGTTTCGGTCACCCTCGAAGCCCTGGGTGACTTAGAGTAAAGTGATTCAATTTTTTTGTTTTCCTGGAAGCTAGTTTTAAACCTCACCTCTCCCTCTTCCTTTTCTGGACAACTCGATAAAGAAAGCCTGTGTCCTTTTCCTGTGGTGTGGGAGCCATAGTCACACAGAGCACCCCTGTTCAACTGCAGAAACTGTCACCGAGATGATCTCTTTCTGTAGTCTAGATAGTGGAGCCTCTCTTTACCTTGTGAGCCTTCCCTGCCCTTCCCAGATGGCCCCTCCCCACACATCACTTCACACAGGCTTGAGCTCTGTATTAGCTGTGTCACTCCCTCACATTCAACCTGTCTCCTTAACCCCACAGAAGGGATAACATCCCACAACCCACACCTCGGTTCAGTATCTTATCCCGACAGTTGACGGATAGAGTTCACCTGTATTCTATTTCATAGTAATGTTTGTGAATCTATTGTAATAATGCATCCATTCATTTGTTCATGCAACAACTGTATGAACTGCACGCTTCCCTACGCTAAAATACTTCTCTAAAAGAAAAATGTTTACACACAACCACCGTAATGCTGCGAGGACAGTGTTGAGCAAGTATCCTGCAACACAAGGCTTTCACCTCAAAGACCAATCACCAACTTCTTCCATGTGTCAGATCAAGTGGTAAACGACAGTACTGGTTGAAACCAAAAACTCGGTTGAGAGCCTGGGGATTAAAGTTTGTGAGTCCTTTTAACCGAGGGCTGAGGTTGAAGGGAGGCTGGTGACAGAGATTTCAAGTCAAAATCACAACAATGGAACCAGACTCACTGGGGTCTGGGATTGCGACATCTGGGGCTTTTCGGGTACCAAATTCAAGCACTTAACACTCGGTTCCCTCCGTCGCCCAGCCGGGAACTGGCTCGCGGGAGACACAGAAAACCGTTTCCTTGGTAACAACTTTTCGAATTACGCCAAAGAGTACAGGGGAAAGGGAAGGGAGGAATTCATTATCATAATCGGAGCCGGTTAAAACAACTATGCCGGGGAAACTGCCGGCGAAGCCACCTCTCGGGAGTCTGCCCCTCGAGGCCGCTTACCTGGCGGGCCCTCAGAGCGCCCTCCATCGCCGCACGCTCCCGCGGAACCCCGCACGCGCGTCCCTGCGAGCCCCCGTCGGGAGGGCCGGCCAGGCGCGTGCCCGCCACGCGCTCCCGGCTCCGGCCCTCGGAATCCCACCTCCAAGTTCAGCCCGAGAGCTTTGCGTCCTCTGGCGGCAATTAGTGACTATTGCCTTTGGCCAACTCCTTAAAAGCTAATTGTTAGCCAGGACGTCAACCACATTTTAGAAGGGATCAGTGATGAGTCTTGACTCCTGACACAGAGTCCTGCATCTGTTGTGAAAGGCGGAGGGGTGTTATTCTTCTTGCTCTGGGACTGGAACTTCAGTTTGGGAAGCTATTGTCTTGCAGATAGAAGGGTTGTTTTCCTGTATGGATGTACTCGACGTCACTGAACTGTACGCTTAAAAATTAATAAAACAGGCAGGACAGGATAACACATGCCCATAAAAACCAAGCAGAAGGGAGGCGGTTAGACCATGAATTGGCCAGCAGCTTGGGCCACATTGTATGTAGTTCAAGGCCACATGAGACTCTGTCTCCCAAGAAAAAAGTAAAACAAACAAAAACCTAAAAAGCCTCTAGTAAAACTTTATGTTTCTCTTGTATACCTACAAAACTCACCAAGCAAGCACCAACAAGTACTAGAAGAACCAGAACTATATACATTGAACCCTGTGGAGAGGCACAGCCTGACCTCTAGCGTTACCAGACTATATTAAAAACACGAGGGAGTTGGAGCGATAGTTCAGTCCTTGAGAGAGCGTTCATTTCCCAGAACTCTCATCAGGCAACTCACAGCCTCCTGTAACTCAAGCTCTGTGGCGTCCTCGGCAACACTGCACTCAAGTGCACAGCCCTGCATTCAGATTAGAATCTGAAAACGAGAATAGACATTCACCAACTCTTGTGGTTTCCCTTGGTCAGAAAAATGGAAACAGCACAGGTAGAAAGTTCTGGCTCATGGTCTCTCACAAGACTGCCCTAGGCGATCACGTGGCACTCCAGCCCTTAGACCACCTCGCTGAGCCTTACTTACAAAAAGCCTTACTTACAGTGCTGGCAGCCTGGTGCTGGTTATTGGTCTGGGGCCTTGGTTCCTCTCCGTTAGGGCTTCTCCGAAGGACAGCTTGAGTCCTCATGTTGTGGCCGTGGCTTTCCTTAGAATGTATGATCCGGGAGACCTAGGTGAAAGCTACAGAGCTTTCTATGACCTAACTTTAGAAGCTACTCACTGTTGCATTGCATTCTACTGGGGCCAGCCTGCTTTGTGTCACTAACAGGGTAAGTATACTGGACAGGAGCACAGCTACCCCGGGTGACACTGGGGAGAAAACAACCTGTGTGGCCTACAGAGAGACCAAGATCCTCAGAGGAATGCCAGGCAGAGGGACTTTAGAGAATTTTCATAGGAAATACAGAGAACTTGGAATTAAGGGGATTGTGTTAATGTTTCCCCTTGAATTTCATAGAACACTAATGAAAGAGGTTGGGCAGGAATTGTCGCAAAAATATGGGTTGAAAGAACATGTGTGCACTGCCAGGACTACACACAATCATGGGACTTCCCACTTACCTTATCCCAGAGGTCCATAGGTATTCTATATGCTGTAATTTTACTCTTTACTAAGTGACAGTTCCCTGAAGTACAGCTCTCTAGCTGACATTTAATTCTGTGAATAGTTTTAAGGAGTTTAGAAGCTTCACATTTATTTTAAATTTATCTTTATAAGACAGGTTGTCATTATGGAGCATGTAAGTCCTGGGAATCTTACCTCTACCTCCCAAGTGTTGGGATTACAAGTGTGCAGCACTATACCTAGCTTCAAAAATCCTTAATATTCTTCATTGTGATTAGCTTTGGTCCAAAGTTCTGAAGACATGACATATTTCTAGTTTTACTATCGAATCAAAAGTGAGCAAATGCATGGGGCTGGAGGGATAATTTACAGGTTAAGAGCACCAATATATTAGCTTCCAATGGTCTCTAATCCCATTTCCAGGACATCTAATACCCACTTCTGGCCTCTGAGGGTACCAGGCACACATGTGGTACACATATAAACATGTAGGCAAAACATTCACATACATAAATCATTTTAAAGTGAGAGAATACAATCTGTAGATTAGTTTTATTCTTAAAACATACCAAAACTAAAGAAGAATTGTACACAGACAGAAAGGACAAGAAAAGGTAAAGCAAGGAATTCTGTAAGCTGTGAAGTCATGAAACGAGTAGCAATGGTTTCATACAACCAAGAAAGCCGAGTCCCAAACTGAGCCAGGGGAAAGCTGAGGGCCCAGCTGACTTGTACCAGAGTGCTCTAAAGCCTGAGAAACAGCTGCATTAACACACCTCTGAAACTGGAGACAAATGACAAGAGTGTATTCCTGGTCATTTGCTCTCGCCTAGCTCCTAACAAACTATACTTTTATATGGACAGTGTCTCCTTCAAACCACTGAGAAATACAGCATTAGACAAACTGTTTATTGAGAAATAAATGAAAATAAAATGTGGAATGCAAACAATGGAAAACAGTGGCAGAGTGATGAAGACATTTGCCAAGAGGATGCTGAAGGCAGTCTCCAGAATGGCCAGTGTGGACTGGCCATGGAAGGTGACCAGTTCAGACTGGAGCAGGCCCACCCAAGAAAGAATCCAGATGAGCAGATCCTCTCTCCGATCCTGTTATCCTTTCCTGTCCTTTCACAGAGGACAGAATTCTCCCACGAGCCAGTACGGGGTCCTTTCATTTCTATTTCCTTCATGGTCTGCTTTACCCCACAGATTGCTTCCTGATTGCTCCTGAAAGCAGGAGGTAGCTGTAGAGGAGGAGGAGGCTTAGAAGTAGGAAACACCAGATAATCCATTCTCTGGCCATATTTTTGCCAAATATGCACATTTTTGTCAGTTGCTCCAAGTACCAGGGCCTTCTGCCTTCCAGGACAACTTCAGGCCCCACACACTTACTTTCTTGGAAAGACACATATGAACCCTCAAGTTACTGAAGTCAATTCAAGCCCACAGGCACTGGTAGGTGTTATTTTCTCTGAATGTCTCTAATATCAGCCTTTTTTTTATTCAGTAAGATTGGTGCTTGCTATACAGTTCTGCTTTTTTTATACATGAATATACTTAGAGATACATGTGTGGATGACCTAGCTTTAAAACAACTACTGATTAATACAAACTTCATGTTTATCTTTGGGGGAAAAAATTGGAAGCAATTGGGTAGGAACATAAAGAGGATTTCTATGTTATCCCAATGTTCTATTTCTCAAGCTGAGTAATGGGTGCATGCACTGTTTTTAAATTATTTGTGTAAAAATATGTCTTCTACTTTTTATGATATATCTCATATATTAAACAATTAGCAAAAGCAATGGTCTTTTAATTTAGCTATTGATTGGAGCTGTTTTATTTTTGTTTTGTTTTGTTTTGAGGCAGTTTCACCATGTAGCCCTGACTGGCCTAGAACTTTCTATGTAGCCCAGGCTGTCTTCCAATTCAGAGAGATTCACAGACCTCTGTCTCCCAAGTGCTAGGATCAAAGGCAAGTGCCATTATGCTTGGCCTAGATACTGCTTGTTGGACATTGATTGACAAAGTTTTCCTATGCTTTGGATTTTGTAAAATGACAGAACTTATTCATAATCTGATAGGAAAGGGTCAAGAAAGAAAAGAGGTTTAAAAGAAGTTGAGTGGGCAGAGGTAAGATTTCCTGGGGTAGGGGCCTGAGTGTCACTGGACAGAATTCAGAATGCTGAAATGAGGTATGCTTGTGTCCCATGGAGCTGAAGTTAGCATTTGAGTAAAAAGGAAAAGGGAAAACGCAAGCCATAGAGTTCCCAGGTCACTTGCTGTAGGTTTCTGGATTCATGTTTCATTAAACTGTGAATTATTCAAATCCATCCTGAGCCAGTTTCTAAAGTGAGATGCCTTATGCCATCTAATGCCGCACTATGACATCTGCTTCTAAATAAACAGGCTAACAGGTCAGCTAACCTGACCTGCCGTTTCTTTCAGCCCTCTCGGATCCTACTGCCTCAAGGGTTTCTATGAATCGTTTAAGAACTGCTTTGCTACTGCAGAGATATAAGCTAATGTTTCCTGATAAACTATAAACGGTATAATTACAGAGATCACTTAATGTGTTGAAAATGTTTTTTTCTAGTTTTATTCATTCTTTGAATTTTTCATACATGTGTACAATGTACCTTGATCATATCCACCCCTCATTCCAGCTTCCAGTGTCCCCCAGGACACCCCTCCTCTCACCCATCACATCTCCCTCCTAACTTCATGTTCTATTTATTTTAGCTCACTGAGACCCATTCGTGCTGACCATATTCACAGGGTGTGGGGTCGGTCACTTGCTGGGGAATGGGAAACCTACAGGTGGCCACATTCCTAAAGACAAGTGCCTGTCCCTTCCCCCAGAAGCCAGCAGCTGCAAACAGCTCCTTTAATTCAAGATTCTTCCTAGAGAATAGCCATCCTCAGAAACCATGTGATCTATTTCATTGGCTCTAACATGCCATTGGAGTACTATTCAATAAAAACCTCTAGAGACACCATTAGCAATTTAGCAGTTAAAATTCATGGGTCAATGCTAATTCTGCCTAGGGAAGAATAGAAATCATGTCCACAAGAGTAGGAAGATGGCTCTGTGTGTAAAGAGCTTGTGGTACAAGCTTGAGGACCTGAACCCAATCAGTGGACCCCTCCTCTCTTTTTTGGTGTTAACGGAGAAAGAGAAACTTAAGGCAGACAATGGGATATGGAGACTGAATGTCCGTCTGTCCCATTTTCCCTCCCCCTCCTGCTTTCTTTCCCTGGGGTCTATGGATTTATTACCTGCCTGTCACCCAACCTCCCCTGCTATATTTTAAAGCAGGAATGTGCAGGTATTTGAAAGAATTCAGGGAAACTAGCGAAAGAGGAAGTTATCTGTCCTTTCCCAGCTCAGAAAACTGTGATTAAAATGGCTTGGGTTTTCTGAATTTCCTCCGAAGCAGGTTTTCTGAGAGGCACCCTACTTGCACCTGGAGGAAAAGAGCACGTTTATTTTTTGAAGGCAAACTGTCCCAGAGAAGAGCCTGAACAGGTTTCAGAGC